CACAACCAGAAGCTCAACACAACACAACACGGCCAACATACAGAAGGCAAACATAGCAACGAAATACGTTGAAGCCTCTAGGAGACCCACATTACAGGCAGCAAAAGAAAAAACAATAACAGAGAACAGACCAATCGTGAGGGAAACCGCCTCATGATGCTTCAGGGCACTGTTAGCCCTTCAAATAAACAACGCCAAAATACAAAAGAGAAGGGTAGGAGGGCTCCTCCCTCTTCCAGATTTGGAAACCCAGTACCTCCATATCTCGACAGCAGATTCAACGTTGACAGAGATGAACGAGGCACTATCAACAAGTGAACAAGAAATCCCGTTGATACAAGCAGTGGTGGGAGCCTTGGCAAGGGCAGGGGTCTTGAACGGGCCACAGTCAAAGGCGTCCCCTAGGGTGGACGGAGCATCATCCAAATGGCCGCCATCTGAACAATCTGCCATCAGAACACACTTTTTAGGGTAAGAGACACACACAACCCTAAACCAATCAGACTCTTCCTCATCATACTGCTTGAGGGTTCGGGGATCTGAGACAGAGAGAGCTTGAGATGCCAAAGACATCGTCAGAATGTACAGAGACTCCTCGTGGCTTCGTTTCTATTGACTCGAAGAGAAGAGAGACGCTGATTTCTTTCTATTGGTGGCCCCGCAAGCGGCCAATGAAGAAAGAGGTTTCAAACGAATACTCAGGAGCCGCAGGTCACCATCGGGAGGAGAAAACTACAAAAAGAAGGAGAGCATCTCTCTCTAGATTCTCTCTCTAGCTGCAGCTAACTAACTGAGAGCTCTAAACCTCATTATTACTTATATGTTCTGTCACATCCTCTTTCTCTAGCTTGCAGCATGGCAGCTAACCAGCCTCGCTGTTCCATCTCATCCTCTCTCTGCAGCTTGTTGCTTTGCAATTAAGAGCCCCATTATTTTCGGTGTGTAGCTTTTCTAGCCTTCATGGAATCCTTATTATTAATAGTATGTTCCATCCCATCATCTTCATGCAACTTACTCCTTTATCTTTGTTTCATCTCATCATCTCTCTACAACTTTATAGTTAATAAGCCTCATTATATTCGGTGTGTAGCTTTTCTGGCCCTAATAAATCCTTAATATATATCTTCCATCCCACCCTCTCTCTGCAGCTCGCAGCTTGGCAATTAATAGCTCTCATAAATTCTTATTATTAATTATATGTTCCATCCAATCCTCATGAAGGAGTACAAATAAAATGCTGTTGTACTTGAGCTGTTAGGTTAGTTGAGAGCGACTTGTTTTATTTTTTTATTTGAATTTGAATTTTACTGTATATATTTATTATTTCTAATATTTTATATATTAATTAGGTTTGTAAGATGTTTAATAAGTTATGGAATTAATTATGATACATTTAAACTGATCTAAACATTTACATAAATTTAAAAACAAAAAAAATAATATTAATTAAGAATAAATTTACTTGTGAAATGAATTTGTTCTATGATAACAAAGTAACAGTTCTGATTTTTTATTATCAACTCAAATATAATTAAATAAAATATATTGAACTTCATTATGCAAAAATTATTTAAATATATATTTTTTTAATTGAAACTTAATTACTCTTAGGGTTATAATAATTCTTTGGTCAATAAATCATGCTATACATAAAAAACAAATTCATGTTTTGTCAAAAACAAAAAAAGAGGCGTACATAAGGTAAGGTAAGGAAAAATTAATTAAAGAAATTTGGGAAAATATAAGAAAATTATAAAATATTTTTTATTGATTTCAGTTCAATGTATTTTTTTTTTTTAATTTGGCTAGTGGCAACTCTGGAGTCAATATATTACAATTATGTACTCGTCATTTAGTCTACGCTTTGCCGTGAATTGAGTAAAAGTTTTTTTAATTCCAAAACAAAATAAAAATAAACGTGAAAGCTTTTTCAATGAGTCTTTTTCTTACACGAAGAAAAAAGCATAATCATAAATTAAAAGGTTGATGTATATATTTAATTAAAAAAATAAAAAATAATTAAAGACTAAATATAAAAAAATAAAAGTTATTAATAATAATTAAAGACTAAAAAATTAAAAATAATTAAAAATTAAAATATTTAATTTTGTAATACATGAATCTAGTTGTATTTAATAAATTTAATTTTTTTAATTTAAATAATAAAGAAATAGTCACGTGTATTAAAGCAATTGTATAAAATTTTATGTGATAATATTAGAAAAAAATGTTATAGTTTTATGTTAAAATCAAACTAATGATATTACCGTGGAAAATTGCCTACTAATATTAGTCTGATGTTAGAAAAGGAAGTATTATAATTTTAAATGAAAATCAAGTAAAAACTAAATGATATTATAATAAAAGATTGCCTGCTAATATTAGAATGACTTTTAATATTAAAAAAATATTATAATTTTATGTGAAAATCAAATAAAAATTAAATGATATAATAACAAAAAAATTACCTACTAATATTAAAATGTCTCTTAATATTAGAAAAAATATATTATAATCTTATATGAAAACCAAGTACAAACTAAATGATATTTAACTAAAAAATAAATTATAAAATTATAAAATAAATATGAATCTAGATATTTAATCTTGAAATACAAGTTATAGATCTCATTGTATTTAATAATTTTATTTTTTAAGTTTTTTTATTTAATAAAATAGTAACAAAAAAGGATATACATAGAAAAACAATTAAATAAAATTAAGAAGAAAAAACTTATTGTAGGGCTGCAAAGATTGAACGTTTACTAAAAATTTACTAATATCGTAAAAACATGATATTGCAATGTTATTCTTAAACTAAATAAAAATTAAAAGGTATTCTATTAAAAACATTATAAAATTATATTATATTAATTTATTTTTAATAATTCCAATTAAAATGAATATCTAGTAGGTCAAGCATCTCACATATTCACTTAATTAATTTATATTTAAATAAAAAATTTAAAAATTCAAAAGGGCTAGTCACGTAGGCCTGAGTGGCCTATCATGCTTAGCCCATTGATTAAAAAAAAATCATGTGTGCATATTAGCAGTATAATGTTTTTTATTTTTGGAATGTGGTAAACAAACAATTTTTTTTTTGCAATAATTTAACTACTTGTTCTTTTGCAATAAAATGAATTGTTGATCTAAAAATAAGATTTCTAAAACTATATGGATTGAAAAAGAAAATAGACTAAAAAGTACCTTTTCTTATAAATTTGAGATTGATCACTAATGGTTTTATTATTATTATTATTTTACATTTTTTTTGTGGAATTTTTCTTTCCTTAATTTTTTTTTATAAATTAGTCATTAATTTAGTTCTATAATAAGTTGAAAAAAAAACTTTTATCATTATGAATTGTTACAATTTACTTAATCGTTTCAATATATTTTATAATTTAGCCTTCAAACACAATTAAAAGGCTTGGTAATAGTGCAAAGTTTTTTTTTTCCCCGACATTCCAGGTCCTTTAACCTTAGGCCCCGTTTGTTTGCAGGAAAGTTGTTTTTTTTTGGAAAGTAAATTCCGGAGAAATTGAATTCCGGGAAAGTGAATTCCGAGAAAAATGAATTCCTTAAAAATAAAGTATTTTCCGATGTTTGGCAGTGTTATGGAAAATAAACTGGAAAACACTTTTCAGTGTTTGGTTATGTTATGGAAAATGAACTGGAAAATAATTTATTAATATTTTATTTTTCTCAAGTTTATTAAAATAATAAGGAATAAATCTTACAAATTAAAAAATTGAATAATAATAAAATTGAAAAAAACATAATTTCATAAATTATCTCAAATAAAATAAATAATAATCAAAACAATAAAAATCAAATCTTAAAAAAAAAGATGAAGAAATTAAAATAATAATAATTAACATTTCATAAAGTATTTCAAATAAAATAAATAACAATCAAAAGAATGAAGACCAAATTTGATAGAAAAAAATTTCTATAAAAAAATAATAGGAGAAAAGCAAATAACAATTATAAAAATAAGGACCAAAGTAAATATAAAAATTAAATTTTAAGAAATGAAATTGAAAAATAAATATTTAAAACAAAATATATATAGCAATCAAAAGTTTGAGGATCAAATTTGATATAATCAGCAAATAATGACATTTCTAAATTTTTCACAACTTCTAGAAAGTGTTTTCCTCCCAAATTTTTCAGGAAAACACTTTCCTGAAAATCAAGCCAAATTTTCCTTTGACTGGAAAGTGTTTTCCGTTTACCAACTTTCCTAACAGCAAACAAACACAAGAAAGTTTGGAAAGTGATTTCCCATAAACCACTTTCTGAAAAACAAACACAAGAAAGTTTGGAAAGTGTTTTCCCGGAAACCACTTTCCGGAAAACAAACACAGCTAAAAGGAAAACACTTTCCTGAAAATCAAGCCAATTTGTTTTTTACTAAAAAATATTTTCGTTGACCAGAAAGTGTTTTTTGTTGACTGGAAAGTGTTTTCCATTGACCGGAAAATGTTTTCTATTGACTGGAAAGTGTTTTTTGTTGACTGGAAAATGTTTTCCGTTGACCAACTTTCTTAATAACAAACAAATACAAAAAAGTTTGAAAAATAATTTTCCAAAAACTATTTTTCAAAAAATAAACATGCCTTGGTGTCCTCATTCAATTTGGATAAAGTAATGCTCATTTGACATGTTCAAACTTATTGGGAAAATAATTAGGAAAATAATGGGAAAAAAATAAATATTTTTCTAACTTCAAAGCCTTGTAGAACATTCTACTCCAACTTGAGCGTTGTCAAACAATGCATCTTTCAACATGATGCTCATTTGACACGTTCAAACCTAACTTCTTCTTGGCTTCACCTTGTCCATCCGGTTTATAAATTTATGTTTCATGTCAGCTGAGTAGGGCTGAGACAAATTTTTAGTTTTTGATATAATAAATAAAAACTATTTAAATTATAAGAAATTAATTCCGGAAGTTTTTTTTTATTTACTTTATTTATAATAGAACTAGAATGCATAATAAATTAATACTTTAATTATTAATAAAACATATTCATAGCACCATGATCCTCACAAGGTGGGGGCAATAAGTAGCATCATATCCAAAGCAGAGAGACAAATTTGATCCAAAGCGTATGATCCTACAAATGATCAGCAGTGGTTGGCTGGCAACTTGGCTGGCATTGTTAGCCCTGATTCTGCTTCCATAGACTCTGTACCGGAATGGTGGAATTTTCGAGAAACCAACTGTTTGATCAGAAATCTTTTTCCTTCTGCAGTTATGCAATGATAGGCTACCGGGGATCTAATGAGATCAAACTAACCTCGTCACCTGAATAAGTTACATGCTTGTTTGAGGAAGTGCTCTGTTCATGTGGATTCTCCCCCATAAAAAAACCAGGTTGTTTAGGCTGCGGCAATGGAATCTCACTTCCTAATATTAGAACCACAGCTGACATGTTTGGCCTATCTTCCGGGCGTTGTTGCACACATAATAAAGCCACATGAATGCATCTTAGCACTTCAGATAAATTGCACGACTCAATCAAACATTCATCAATCAGCTCAAATGGTGTCCCTTTAATCCAAAGCATCCACGCCTTAAGAAAAAAAACCAAGAACATGTATCAGTAGACTGGCTATTCTAACTTCTCTGTTACCATCCTAGTTTTGCCATAACATCAATGCTCGTATGATATTTCTGAAAGTCTCAATAACTAGGCAAATTTGTTTGTTTAATCTCATTGAAATGCCTCAGAGGGATATCAAGATTTAATATTCACCACCGTCTTCATCAAGGTTGTATGTATTAAAGTATTATTTAAAAGCTTACATGTCCAAGAAGGTTAAGGTTGGGGTCCAGGTGACGAAATCCCCTATTTTTCTTTCCGCTCACGATCTCGAGGACTAGAACACCGAAGCTAAAAGCGTCAGATTTCACTGAAAAGTATCCATTCGATGCATACTCGGGAGACATGTAGCCACTGAAAATGATACTAACAGGTTAAGTTCACAAAATAGTATTGAAAATCAGCAAGACAAGATTGGGTGTGTGTACTTACTATGTTCCAACTATCCTACTAGTTTTGGCCTCTGTTTGATCTCCACCGAACATTCTAGCAAGGCCAAAGTCAGAAATTTTTGGGTTTAGCTCATCATCCAGTAAAATGTTGCTGGCTTTGATATCTCTGTGGATGATTCTAAGTCTAGAGTCTTGATGCAGATAAAGAAGCCCTCGAGCAATTCCACCTATAATGTTGATACGCTGACTCCAATCAAGTAGTTTCCTTCCTGTTTGGTCTGAAGAATTTCTCAATTAGTCCAATTAACTAATTGATTTGTAAAAGTTAATAGAATTTATAGAACTTCAATCTTATTAATTCAGATGGGTTAGCACCAAAAATAAAGGAGTCCAAGCTTTTGTTGGGCATGTATTCGTAAATTAACATTCTTTCATCTTCATGAATGCAACAACCCAGAAGCTTTACAAGACTGCGGTGCTGAAGTTTAGCAATTAACATAACTTCATTTTTGAACTCATCCAATCCTTGGCCTGAACTCTTTGAAAGCCTTTTCACTGCTATTTGTTGCCCTCCTATGAGTATTCCCTGAGTGATTCACACAGTTCAGCAAGTATTTTTTAGAAAATGGATTGTCAGGTATCAGATTTTTTTTCATACCTTGTATACGGGTCCAAAACCACCTTCTCCAAGTTTCTTGCTGTTTGAAAAAGCATCGGTGGCATGTGCTATAGTACTCATTTCAAAGATTGGCAATTCCATATCTTGCTCCCTTTCTTCACAGTGATTTTTCTTTCTAAGATTCCACTTCCGCATGGAAATGATGAATCCTAACATTATCATGCCAATGCCTGATACTATAGCGCTGGATACTATTCCTGCTAGCTTCTTACTAAATGTCCTCTTTTTCGTAGGTACACCTGAGTGCACAGAAGAATGGTTAGAAGAACCTGATATATAAACCAGTTCAGGAGTTTATTGTTAAATATGGACAAAGCAGCAGAGCAAAGACCTTCTACTTTCCATTCTATATGAATTCAAGAGAAACAGAAATATTTTTTCCTCAGCACAAAGGTAAAATGAGACTGTATGAATAAATAGTTGCAATTTGAAATACTTGCCCAATTCTGAAGCATTCATCCTAACAAAAAGGTCTTGTCCATCCCCAGTTGACCTTCTTGTATCAATCAGGTCACCAAACCAGATCAGGCATCCACTTCCACCTTGCCTGATATCTAAATTTGCATAAGCAGTGCAGGAGCAGTTCTTCAAACATAATACCTCACATTCCTTGAGACTGATGCTCTTGTCGTACCAGGAAGACGATGTGTCGGGAAATTTCATCCCTGGATATTTACGAAAGCCAACTTTGTCGCTGCATTCTAGCGGAGTTCTCCGGATACACCCATCTGACCAATCTGAAAAGTTCCAATCTGCTGGAGACTTGGGAATGAATCCATCCAAGCATGCACATATAGGAGATCTACTCATCTCACAGCGAGTATTTGGACCACAAAAGGCATAATTTTCACACTGATCAAACTGGCCAACGTCAGTAATCACCCAATCTTTTGTTCGGTCATTCCATGTGAAGCTCTGTGGAAGGCCTGATGGACTGAGTGTGAGCCTTGAAAGGACTGATTTTTGGATTCCAAACTGGAAATAAACCTCTTTGCTGTTGAAAACAAATTCATTGGAAATAGGTATCGGTCTAGGATTTGATATGAATTTTATGCCATTCCAAGGCCCCGCTCTAAACAGAGTAATGTTTCCCCTCTTCAGAAGTAGCTGGGGATACCCATGAGTATCTATAATGAAAGAATATTCACCTCGAGCAGGATCTTCAGCACTCTTCCAAGATGATAAAAACTCGTCAATCTTTGTTACGAAATTGCTCCCCAATTTCATTCCTAATATTAAGGTATCACCTGGATGGCCAAAACTCTGCCACAGAAAGTTGTCGGGATTACTGTCATTCCCTTCTCTCACAACAAGATTACCTGTCTCCAAGAGCTCTGCAACTGAATCCTCTGCAGTTCTTGGTGAATTCGATGACCAAACAATATCATTTGTACTACTGTACAGGACAAGTATCCCTTTGCTGCTTAGATTCAGAGCCCCCTGAGTATTGGAAAGTGGAACTTCTCTGTTTGCTACCCATGTAACTGTACGAGGAGACTTCGTATACCATATTCCCAAGTAACGTTTTGTTGAATTTCCAGGGCTGAAAAATCCTAGTTCAAAGTTTCCCCCGGTTGAAAGGAGAGTTGCACTTGCACCATCTCTTATGGATTGGCTTGGGTAGATTATGTTTGATGTGGCGGAGTCGATTAAAATAGAGAATAAGAACGAGCATGCAAACAGCACTGAAAAAGCTCCCATTCAAGAGTTTTCATAAATGTTCTGGTTTGATCACGCAGAAAAATGTATTGTTGTTAGTACAAGCTGCTGGTCTAATGTGAAGACGGTTTCCAAAGATATTGACTCCATGTAGCTTCGGTAAACATTGGCTACCGTTCGTCAATAACCATAAGAACCATCTATCACGGCCGGAAAAGTCCTATTTCAAGAAGTTTCAATAATTTAGCCCCAAAAGACATCCGCGATGAGCATCACAAAGCGTCAGCTTTGTATTAGAGTGAGTTTAAACTGCAATGTGTGAATATTTTTTAAAGTATTTTTTATTTAAAAATATATTAAAATAATATTTTATTTATTTTTTAAAAATTATTTTTAACATTAATATATTAAAATATTAAAACAATATTAATTTAAAATAAAAAATAAAATTAATTTTTTTCAAAATCACTTTTGAAATACAAAAAAAAAATAATATTAGTAACTTTTGTGGTGATAGGAGCTTTTGGATTAAATTTTTTTGAAACATGAAAGTGATAATTGTTTTTAAACTATAAGCTCAAAATCTAATGTATAGATGTTTAATAAAATACTTTTAAAGATTATATACATAAATAAATGCCAAAAAGACTTTTAACACATAAAAAGAATAAGTCAAGAGAAAAACATAATTAAAGATATACCAATTCAAAAATGTTTCAAAAGAATAATCAAAACTCAATTTAATTAACAAAATCAAAATATTATATATTATATATTGGGATGAGAATATCTTAGACTAATGCAAGTTTATCCAAGTTAAACTATTAAAATTATGATCTAAATTATGAACTAAATTACTTTTAATAAAAAAGTTAAAATCTTTATTTTATTTTGATAACAAAAGTTGATGTTGTTAGACCGACAATGAATAAAAAGGATGACTAAGATAGATTGTATAAAAAATGTTTTTAATTTTTTTTTAAATGTGATCTTAATAAGAAAACACAATTAAAATTCAATAGTATTAATTTAATAAAATAATATATTAACTATATTTTAAATGGTTTAATTCTTAAAAATTACGCATAAATTCTTGGGGAGCAAAAAAAAACTGAACGCGCTGGCCTGAAAAATTCAATTTAGACAACATACAAACATTACACCATTATCAAACTAGTCTCTTCTTTAATGGTGGTTACCTTGTCTCGGCAAGGTGCAACACATGTCGATGAAAAGTTGCTAGTAGCGCTTTGAAGACATATTTTTCTTCCCTTCTCTTCCTTGTTTTCTACTCTTCATTTTCTCTTTTTTTTTTTTTTTTTTTCCCTTTTTTTCCCTAGGCCGGTTGTGCTTGTGTATCCTATCCTGTTATAAATATAATGAAAAAATTAGACTCGATCCTAATATACAGTAATATACAGGATCTGCCTGCCTTAGCCCCGAAAAAAATCAACCTCCTTATATATTTTTCTCTAATGCACGTCAAGTAGGGTAGGTAAAAAAAATCAAAAAACCAATTAAATTTAGAAAATAAAAAAAATAATTGAAAAAACCTTATTAAACCAATTAGAATTTTTTAAAAATTAATAGATTTGGTTTGATTTTGATTTTGATTTTGATTTTATAAACTGAAACTTAAAAATTTAAATCGGACTAAACTTAAATAAAAAAAAAATAAAAAAACTGAGTCAAATTAAATTAAACCAAAATTGATGATTTGAACTGATTTTTATCTAAAATAACTAAACTAAACTAAAATAAATATGTTTGAAATGGTTTTGGTTTAGTTATATATTTTAAAAAACACTAATTTAATTATTTTATTCTGAAAATTAAACCAACTGAAAATAATTACTTATAACAAGTGGACATGTCCTTTGTTGCGAAAAGATGGAGGGAAAAGTCTATAGTTCACACAGAGCGTAAATCTAAAAGAGCATCATTGACTTTCGTTACCCTCCATGTTTTGAAAAAATACTAATTAGTGAATGATGATAGGCTATTTTATCAATATACTTCTGACTTTATAAATGTAAAGAGATTACGGATCAAATTCTTTCCTTCCCAAGGACTTAACAAAAGGCTAAATATATACAATATTGTGCTTAATAAAGAAGAAGTGATCATTGACCCAAATAAAAATTATATCACAACTATTATTTTCAACCCTTCGATGCCCTTGGACGCCATGAATTCCCTCTCCTAAATGGCACAACGCCCATTTTGGGTCCACGGTACCTCTTTATCTTCCTTCCTTTCTTCTATTTATTTATTTATTCTTACCTTAATTAACTGCATTTCAGTGCTTTGACTTCTCTGACTTGTCTTCTCGGCTCCTATGGCTGTGTATGTAGGCTTAGACTTAGAGCCCACTGGACCACGTTGGCCCACGTTTCAAGGCAACACCCATGTTTCCAATGGGCTGGTTTTCATTTTTGCACATGCTGTCTCGACTCTCGACGATTGCATTTTTTACCGAAAGAGAGTTGCATAATAATCAGTCATCTTTATATTTGAAAATTAATACAGTTGTTGTATGGTTATATCTCAGCCTGAATATAGCTGGCTAATGAGTTATAGTTCAAGTGATACTAGTGCATTCTCTCTTTATAAATAAATAAATAAACATATAGTTTTGTGCACAAAAATACCTCCTAGTACCTTAAAATTGTAAGACGAGTATAGTACAGGAGAATCAAATGTATTTAAAACAAACTACTCCTTAATCCTAATGGTGTGCTTTAGAGGTGTCTGAGGGGAAGTTTTGATCCATGAGTCATGTAGCATTTACGAGCATAATTTCAATTAATTTATATACCACGTTATAAGAAATTAGCTTATTGAAGATCTAATTTAAATTTAATGATATAATAAAAAAGAAATGAATGTATAGATACATAGTGGAAATAGCTACTAAATTATAAGGGTAAATTAAACTATTTTAAATAATTTTTTCATTAACATAATTACTAAAGTAATTACACTGCGTTTTGGAGAAACTACATTGGATGGACCCTCGGATCTTTCGTTTTGTTCTTATATTTTAAACGTTTTATTTTATTTCAAATTTTGATTAGTTTATTTTTATCTCTTTAAGAAATAAGGGAACACTAATCCAATGTGACACGAGTCATCCAAACCGACCTTGGCAAAGTATTTTTTAGATTACTTTATTTATTCATTGAGATTTTTTTTTTTATCGTATAAACTTAACGTCTCATTTTTACATCACAGAGAAAGAAATTTCTCTTGCACACCCACCTCTCTAAATTTGCAAATTCCAGTGACTTGAATTTGACCTCCATGGAAGTACAAAAAGGCTCGCAAAATATTAGCATCTGACTAGACTTGAAAGACGCCATCCGTGCGAGTCAGACCACAAAAAAATAAAATAATAATAACAATAAAAAATAAAATAAAAGAATTCAATCTAAGCTAACCTAAATTATGTAACACTTTAATAATAAAAAAATAAAATAAAATAAATACAAAAATAATCCCATAAAAAAATAAGAAATCCAGATTATATAACATTTTAATAATAAAAAGTAAAAAATAAACTAGTTTAACTTACAAACTTTATAATAATAATAAAAATATTAGAATAATCTCATAAAAAACACAAAAAAATAAATACTAATTTTTCATAAATCAAATCAGAACATGATAACTCAAAAATAAATTAAAAACAAAAGATGGGAGCTCAATCTCTAAAAAATAAAATATTGAAAGATAAAAATTAAAAAAATATATATTTTAAAAAGGTAAAAAAATTAGATCCAAGCTCACCTAGGTCAAAAAAACATAATCTTTGACCTAGTCATGATAAGAGATGAGCGAATTCGAAATAAAATTTAATAATATCATAAAATTTAATTATTAAATAATTTAATGTTAAAGAAAAAAATAAAAATAAAAACAAAAATAATTTTAAAAATTAATGAAAAAAATATATGTCAACCCGTGTTAATTTGCAAACCTTTTGATCATGAAAATCATGAAATCTTTTAATTGACTTCAATTAAGAAACTTATTTTCCAATTAATTTAATTTTGAATGATGAAATCGTGAAGTAAAAAATATCAATTTAAAAAACTTGTTAAAGAAAAAAAGATAGAAATAACAAGAATGAGGAACACATTTAATATGAAAAAAAACTTATAAAGGATAAAATTGTATAAAAAATGATTGAGATAACCCAATAGAAAGAAAATGAAAAAAAGAAGTAAGAATAACAATTTCCAATAAATCAAGTGTTAAATGATGAAATGATAAAATTAAAATAATTTATTTTTAAAAAAAATCCAAAAAAGAAGAAGTAAATTCGAGTTAACATTTAAAATAAATGACTTTGGTCTTGAACCTGGGATTAACTTCGTAGCAATAAAAAACTTTAATTAACCTGATTTAATTCACAAACTCTATAATGATAGGCATAGAATTAGGATAACTCATTAAAAAAAAAACAAAAAAAAACAAGAAGTTTAATTCCAAATAAATTAAATATTAAATGATAAAATTAAAATAAATTAATTTTAAAAAGGGATAAAAAAATAAAAGTTAATTCACGTTAACATTTGAAATCAGAGACTCCAGTTATGAACAAAAAAATAATTTTATAGAAGATAAATTATAAAAAATAATAAAGCAAATCTACAAAAAATGGGTAAAAAATAAAATAAGAAAACAAATAGCTTCTAAAAAGAAGAAAAAAAACTAAGACAACTTGGGCAAATCTCTTACACACAATCTAATATCTGAAACTCATAACCTGTGAAATTCTTGAACCAAGTTCAATTTTAAAATTTAATTTTTAACTAATTTAATTCTAAAGGATAAAATCGCGAGAAATAATCAATTTAAAAACTTGATGAAAAACTTGATGAAGAATAAAAAATAACAATAAAAAAATAGGTATCAAATTTGAAAGAAAAAAAACCATGAAGGATAAATTGCAAAAAAAAAATACAACTTAAAAAATAATCTCAAATAAAACAAATAAAAATTAAAAGAATGAAATTCAAATTTGAAAGATAAAAAAAATAAAAAAAATGAAATTGAAGAATAATTGTTAGTTTACATCTTATTAAAAAAATAGTAATCTGACTAAAAATTAAAAAGTGAATAAATTAAAAAAGTATTTTTCTTTTCATAATTTATTAAAAAAATAATTAAAAAAAATAATTTTTTTAATATTGTTTGTTTTTTAAAAAATAATA